GGACTTCTGGCAAAGAACTTTTACACCGGGGGACTCCCTCGGGTCAGACGTTTGTCATTTAACCCTGTGAAAGGTACAAGATGTGGGCTTACCTGAATGTTTTCCAGACACACCTATACAGCAGCTCAATTCACAGCCCGTCTCCTGTTGATCTGTGCCTCCATTCCAGTTTTGATTTTGTCGAGTGTGACACAGACCCAGACATCTGACACTCAGGACTATGAGACAAGTCACACTGATCATTTATACCAGCTGGGTGGCGTGGAGTCGTCTCTGCTGTCTGCAGCAGTACACCAGCTGGTTGGCTGCTCTCTGTGGGGAGGGATCTTTCCTAAACTGTCCACAGACACAGTGAAAGTCAGAGGCTCAAGCTGTGAGGCAGATTTTATTGCCAACATTTAGTGAACATCAGAGTGATACTCGTCTGCACAGGACAGCAGCAGGGCCTGTTTTCTGAGCTGAAGGTGAGTCACACAGTGCTTCAGAGGGATCACTCAGAACATTATCTAGAGAACTGGGTCATTATTTCAAATGCAAACTCAGACATTAGCCTTTGCACCTGTATAATAATCAATTCTGAGACATCTGTGCACAAATAATCAGCCTTTAACCCAAGAGTTGCGCTCAGTCCCTTCACAGAATCATGTCTATCAGCCATTAGTTTTCTTTTCTAATCCCTGTAGCAGTGCAGCAGCATGCCGCTCTCTGCTCATGTTCATGCTGTCCTTAACCAGAGACTGTCAGCAGACCAACTCCGCCGTGTCTCTTGTGCTGTCTGGAGCCTTCTGTTCACCATCGCCTGGCAGCGTCGGGCTCTTGTGTTAGGCTGGACACAAACCGTGTGCCTCTGAGATAGAGCTCTGATTGTTGCTTCTTTTTTTTAAGAAATATGTAATAGAGAAGTACATGAAACCAGATTGGTAGAGTAGGAGCACAACACATGACACACAATGTGTTTGTGTGTCACACTTGTCAGTCCACACAGTCACCGACTCGTGTGTTGTGTTGTTTCCTTGCTTCTGTGTGTGTCGCTCAGGTGCAAACGCCACTGTCAGTTTCACTGTGCACACACTCGAGGAGTGTGTGTGATCAGATGGGAGTTTGTGTTGTTCAGCTCTGAGACATGAAGTAATTGGACTGTTCATTTGTGACCCGAGTGTTACAGGACACTGTGGGTTTGTGTGTTCTTCTTTCTGTAGTTTGTGATTTGTGCATCTCACTGACAGACTGGATCAAAGTCGAGGAGATATTTTCAGTTATGTTGGTTCATTTGAATGTTACTTTTTCCTGATGTGTAAACTCTGAAAACAGGCAAACAGAGGTGACCGTCAGCGAGGCGTGGCTGAGTGCTGACAGCCGTAGGCAGCTGCTGCACTTCACAGGGCTGTGGTGCCTGAGAATCTTCTCTGCTTAGGAGAGTCATGAAGTCATGACTGATCAGACTCTGCCTGCTGAGTGGCTGACGTTAACTAGCTGCTGTCTGCCGGTCTCCATGTGAAACACTGCAGCGTGCCTGGTTGGCTGTCTCTGTGTGTCAACCCTGTTATAGAGCGGCCACCTGTCCAGGTGTACCCTCCTTTTGCCCACTGTCAGCTGGGACTCACTCCAACCCCCTGCAACCCTGTAAACACTCTTTTAGGGGTTTGGCTTTGTCTAGCTTTAGCTTAGGTTAAAGGATAAGCTAGTGCAGCCGACAGATCCATGTCTAGAGTTAGACGGACAAATCTGCCATCAGTGTTTTTTGTGCTGTCAGCTCATTGCAGATCTCTCAGTAAATGTCTGACAGTGTTTTTGGACTTTTGAGAGAGTAGAGAGACAGGAAAGCAGGGTGAGAGAGAACAACTCAGACCTATGACAAAGATCTACAGATGTCACACACACCAATCTGCACACAGACCCTTCTGAAACCTTTTGGCTGTAGACAGGTATATATAAACACATTATGAGCTCAGTTACGTCTTCACAGGAGCCTGTCTCTGCAGGACAGTGTCAGCCCTCGTATAGTTGGACTGTCGCACTGTGTCTGAGCTCATTTAGAAACAGCTTGTTTACCACAGAGCTCTGACAGGTCTCACTTGTTTAGTGTGCATCTAGGTCCCTATTTTTATAAAAATGCTTTTAAAAAAGTGTAGCTAGTTTAAACGGTCAGTAGCTCTGACATCCACAGCTGTATGACCCGTGCACAGCGACGACAGCTGTGCAGCTCTTTCTGTTGCTGCTCGGCTGTTTTGCTCATGAAGAATTCAACATATCAACTTTCAGTTGTTTTTGTCTCGCTGCATTTCCAGGGAAAACAAAAGACTGTGTGTTTTATGTCAGTATATTCACATGCAGTGATGAGAGTGTGTGTCTGTGCACACGTGTGAGTGTTATGTGTGTCATGTTTCCCATCCTCTCTGTGGTCCTCTGTTACCGTGGAAACGTCAGAGCAGTAAACGGATGCAGGGCGAGAGATGCCGGCGGTCTGAAGGAAGATGAAGTTCTGAGGAAGAAGAGAAAAGACAGGAGGTGGAGGGGGATGGGAGACGTGAAGGGTCAGAGGGCGGGAAAACAGACGAAGGAATAGAGGGATTTACACAGGCACAGACTAAAGATGGAGCGAGTCAGACGGAGGCTTTTAGGGAGATGGACGAGAGGTTTAAGGTGGAAGTAGGAAGGAGAGGTTAGCTGGAGAGGTCTGAGGGAGGGAAGGTGACAGAGTGCGAGGAGGATTATACAGAAGAATTAAACACCCAGTATAGAAAACGGGGAGGGGGAGGCAGATGACAAAGGACAAAGATGTAGAGAGAAACAGACTCAGTGACATTCACAGCCTATTAGCTCACTCAGCATTTTACTGTCACAGTAAGAACAATGGGCAGCTCCATCCCCAGGTTCAGGGCTCACTTCCTGTGTGTGTACACCTGCCACTAAGGGGCACTTTGAGCAAACGTTCGGTTTATCAAACGTCAGAACACTGTGAAATGCACCTGTAACAGTTTCCCAGAGCTCAGACAACACCCCACCTACCTACCCACCTAAACCTTTCACACTAATCCTACAGTGGTCAGATACCTATCATTGTACGCTACAACCCTGTGAGAGTCTGGTTGAAAGTTCAGCAGCAGTGACCTGTGGATCTGAACATCATCTTTAAAACTGTCTTGTCTTGCAGCTTCCACCTGCTTTAGGATAAAGATAACCACCTTTATTGGCCAAGTATGTTACACACAAGGAATTTGTTTCCAGTACAGAACCGATGGCAGCCATCTACGGCACCACCTCAACCAGTGGCTCTAACCATCGAGGGCAACGGGGGGGTTCAGTGTCTTGCCCAAGGACACTTCGACATATGGACTGCAGACACCGAAATCCCCCTCCCCTTTTAGCTCCCTGTTCAGGTCTGATTTTTAGGAGCTGCTGTCGGCGCTCCACTGTACGTCCTCGGTGGTGTCCACGGACACAGTCACACAG